AGAGAAGCGTGTGAGTGCTTGTTTGTAGACATAACATAATTGCTGTGACATTCGCTGCGCAGTTCCAGAGGTACCTGCAGGGATCAGGGGCTGGCGGGAGGCCAGGCTGCTGCTGGCAGTGTCCCAGCCCAAACAGGAACAGGGAAACTGATCAACATGTAAGAGGTTTTTTTGCTTTTTTTAATCGTTCCTGTCCTATTTCTTAATTTTTCTCCCAATTTTCCCTGTTCCTTTCTGGCAGCACACCAAACTCCCAGCAGCAGATGAAGGCACCGCCTGGGTGCCAATGCTCTGAGCAGGTGTTCCACCCCGTGTGCTGGGAAAACACCACRGAATACATCTCCCCCTGCTTCGCTGGCTGCACCAGCAGCACCACCAACTCCTCCAAACCCCATGTAACGGTGAGTAAAGGTTTGCTGGGAATGGGGCAGTGATGCTGCAGGACTCAAAAAAACTGCAATAAGGCAGTGGAACCTATTCCATGGCGTGTGCTGAGTACTGGGGAGGTGCCACAGGGAATTGCTGTGATGCCCCGGGAATCTGCTTGGAGGAACAGGGACAGGGGCACATTCCTGTGTCACATTCCAGGATGGCACAGCTGAACCTTAAAAGCAGAGCTGGTTCTCTTGTGGGTGTCCTGCRAGGGGATGGGGGACAATGCACCAYGAGGARCCTGCTCCTGGTGCTGGGAGTCTGACTCTGCTTTGTTCCAAACATTTCCAACAGGGGTCTGTGCTGGRGCCAGTTCTGTTCAATATTTTKAYTGATGAYATGGCTGAGGGTATTGAGTCCTTCATTAGTAAATTTGCAGATGACACTGAGCTTGGAGCGTGTGTCAATCTCTTGGAAGGCAGGAGGGCTCTGCAGAGGGACCTGGAACAGTTGGATGGATGGGCAGAGTCCAATAAGATGAAGTTTAGTAAGTCCAGGTGCCGAGTCCTGCACTTTGGCCACAAGAACCCCCTGCAGTGCTACAGGCTGSGGACAGAGTGGCTGGACAGTGGCCAGGCTGAAAGGGACATGGAGGTACGGTCAATAATCGACTGGACATGAGCCAGCAGTGTGGCCAGGTGGCCAAAAAGGCCAATGGCAGCTGGCCTGGGTCAGGAATGKTGTGGCCAGCAGGAGCAGGGCAGGGATTCTTCCCCTGGTGAGGCCACACCTCGAGTGCTGTGTCCAGTTGTGGCCCCTCAGTGTGAGAAGGACATTGAGGGGCTGCAGCGTGTCCAGAGGAGGCAACGAGGCTGTGAAGGGCTGGGAACACAAACCCTGTGAGGAACGGCTGAGGGAGCTGGGGGTGTTCAGCCTGGAGAAAAGGAGACTCAGGGGTGACCTCGTCACTCTCCACAGCTGCCTGAAGGGTGGCTCTGGGCAGGGGGGTCGGGCTCTTTCTCCAGGCACCAACAGGACACAGCCTCAAGCTGCACCAGGGAAATATGGGTTGGATATCAGGAAAAAGTTTTTACAGAAAGAGTGATRAAGCAGTGGAATGGGCTGCCCAGGGAGGGGGTGGAGTCACCATCCCTGGATGTGTTTAAAGAGAGATTGGATGTGGTGCTGGGTGCCGTGGGTTAGTTGAGGTGTCAGGACATRGGTTGGASTCGATGATCTTGAAGGTCTCTTCCAACCCTGGTGATCCTGTRATTCTGTGACTCTGTGAACAGATCTTCCAGAACTGCGTTCTGCCGGGGAAGAAGCCATTCTCGACCTCCACGGGCTCCTGCCCGGTCAGCTGCCACCACATGCTCCTTCCTGCCATATTCCTCATCTCCTTCGCTGCGCTGATCGCCTGCCTGTCCCACAACCCCCTCTACATGATGGTGTTACGGTGAGCAGTGAGGGGGGTCCCGAGTCCCCGGGGRGAGCCGATGGGATGGGATGAACGGCATGTCAGAATCGTGCAACCAGCCCAAGTCTTGGCCAAATGCAGCGCCAGCAGATCTGACCTCCCGTGACTTGTGCCCTGCAGGGTGGTGAATCAGGATGAGAAGTCATTCGCCATCGGAGTCCAGTTCTTACTGATGCGGCTGCTGGGTGAGTGCTRGTCTCTGGATGAGTCTGAGGGGTTGCTGGAGCCTCAGGAGGCGCTGAACCTCTTCGGGAGCAGCACCTGACTCGATCCTCTCCTCCCGTAGCCTGGCTGCCCGCCCCGGCCATGTTCGGAGCGCTCATCGACTCCTCCTGCATCTACTGGCAGAGGCAGTGCAGCCACCGCCGCTTCTGCTCCTACTACAACAACGACTTCCTCCGCAACAGGTACCCTGTGTCCCTGCCCCTCGGGGCGGGGAGGGGTCCCAGCCAGCCTGGGGACGGCTGCGAGTGCCACCTGCGCCCGTGGCATCTCCTGATGGCTCTTCTCCCGGCAGATACCTGGGGCTGCAGGTGAGCTACAAGGTGGTGGGCACCGTGCTGCTGGCCATCATCGGCTGGAAGGTGAAGAAAAGCAAGGAGTACAACGTGCAGGAGAAGGAGGAGGGGCTGGTGTAGCCCCTCCGGGGACGGACTCGCACCCCCATCACCCGCCGCCGCTACTTTGTCTTGTTTGGGTTTGTTTTGCCTCGCACGGGAGCGGCTCCGCCGCTGCAGCTCCGGGCTCCTCTCCCGCAGCCCCGGCGCTCCGGGCCAGCTCCGTCCTGGGAATGGCTTCTCCCGGGGGCTCCGGCAGCGCTTKCCCGGCACCCTGGGGATGGGACAGCCCCCCGGCAGCTGGAGCAGGAGGCACAGGGGACAGGGACACACGGACCCCGAGAAGTGCCTGCTGTGGGCGATGGTCCCGCCCCGGTGTGACATTCCCGGCCAGGAGGTGCCTCCCCGGCTGGGACAGGAGCGGGGGAAGCGGCTGCCAGGTGTCCCCCCAGCCACAGCCCCCACSGAGGTCAGCAGGGACACCGCACACGCGTTGGGACAAGTCAAACTCAAGGGGTTCGTYGCAGAACATTTGGGGTTTGTTGCTCTTTTTATTTTTTAAATAAAGGTCACTTTTCCAGCTGTGGCACTTTATTGGTTCCCCCACCACCATCCCTGGGGAGGCTGCAGGGCACAGCCAGGCCCATGCTGAGCACATTCCAGCTGGGAAAGGGGAAAAGATTGTGGCAGGAGGGGGATTTGATGGAGGAGGGCTGTGAGGGGCTGCACAGAGCTGGGGCCAGGCAGAAATGCCCTGGCTGCATCTCCCTGGCAGGCAGGGTCTCTGGGCAGGGGGCTGCAGGCACAGAAGGGCAAACCCTGAGGTTCCCATCCCTGATAAGTTCATTGGCACAGATCAGTTCTGGAGCTGGTGCCTCAGAGGAGGGACCATGAACACAGAAATCCATGGCAATTTGAAAGTTTCATTTCCCCTCCCTCACACCAGAATCCTGAGCAAGAGCCAGATCAGGGTCTGGGGTCCTTCTCAGCCTTCACTGCRTTGCTGGTTGGGTTGTTTCACTCCCCTTGGGTTTGGTGGGTTCTGTCAGTCCACACTGTGATGGAGTTGTTAAGAGTTCACAGACCACYATCTGCTCCAGCATTTTTAAGTAATACTTAATTAATACTGCAGCTTTGCCTATTCTATTATTAATGCTCTTTACTATTATTAATGATCTTTACCATTACGATTGATCAGATTGGCAGCTCCAGGTTTCCCTCTGATCCATCTATGCCTGWCATGGCACAGCCTCAGGGTTGATATTCAGTTCAACCCCTGGTTTAACAATTCCAGCTACTTCTGTCAAGCACYGAGCTACTTTAAAATCCTGTAATTTTTTCGATGCAGAGGGTTTTGGGCAGGGTCCAGTGGGTTTGAAGCTTTCTTTTAGGGGTTTTCTGGTATGAATGTATTCTGCTGAATGGCTTTTCCTTGTCCTCTGGGCCCTGCTGCATCCACACTCATGGAGGGAGTTAAAAATTTGCTCTGGATCAGTAAAAAATCCCACCAGTTTTCACAAAAAAGACTTCTCTCCCTGTTATTCCTATTCCTGTTCCCCTCCACCTGGTAGATTTTCCCTGACCTGTAACTTTCTCCACGTCCTTCCCACCATGGATGGGTAACATCCAGCAGGACAAACCCCAGGAGGGGCCAGTCACAGAGTGCACGAGGTGGCCCAAATGGGGCCAACAGAAGCTGCTGGCTCCAAAGGTGGCTGGATGGTAGCTCTGTGCACAGGGAAGGTCACACCTGCATTGGGGACCCTTGGAAACCACCCTCCCCCGGGGTGCTGATGTCCAGGCATTATTATTGCTGCTTTTCTTCACCTTGCTGCCATCTCTCCTCCTCTTTCAGGGCTCTGCCATCCCAGTTCTCCCTGTGCTCGTTGTTCTCCTCTGAACACATCTGCCTTTTCCAGGGGAACAGTTTGGAGCACAACCCACACCAAAAAACATTGACCCAAAGAGTTTTAGCASAGCGAGAGCCTCAGCCCCTGGGGATGTGTGAACACAGCGGGTCCCTGACTCAGGCTCAGGCAGCTGGAGGAAAAGGGGCCGAGTTTGTCACACCCCACTGTCCTGCCAAAGCCATCCCAGCACAGCCCTGCCGAGCTGCAGCCTCAGGAGCAGCACTCCCGGCCAGCAGAGCCACGGGCTGGGAACAAGGTCAGAAGAGCAAAGAACAAAGCACAAAGTGAATAAAGGAAACAAGAAAACAACACTCAGAGTTTCCAGTTCTGCTCTTTTCCCTCAGCCACTGGGGGAAAACAGCCCTGGATATTGAACAAGTCATGGAGTGAGGCCCAAGAAACTCCTGGAGTTGTGCTCTGTGCTCTGTGCACAGGCAGCCCCGGGGGCAGCCACTCCCCAGCCCGGGGAAGTTGAGGCTTCTCCTCCATCCAGCACAGCCACTTCAGGCACAGCAGCACTGCTCTTGTCACCACAGCCACATCAGCTTTCCCATGCACATCACCAAAGCACCTTTTCCTTATGTTCTGTAGGCGTTTTTTGCTACGTGATTATCARTTCATCAATTACTCAGACCAAGGAGTAAATAAAACCCCMAAAAAACCCCAACCCCAGAGCCCTGTGTGGGCAGAAAACAATGTTTTTGGACAACACAGACCTGGCCACAGAGCAGGAAGGCTGATCCCCAGCATTGAGCTGAGCAGGAGCAGAGCTCCATCCACATGGATCTGACACTGCTGGCAAGAGCCAAGGCAAACACATAGACTGGAGCGAGACATGAGAACAAACATTTAAGCAAAAAAAGAATTTACTTAAGGAATATATTTTAAAAGAATAACTTAAAAACCCACCATGGCCTCATGATACCTTCCCCCCTCAAGCCAAGGGTGGTGCTCAGCCTCTGCTTTTCAAGGAGACGTGTCTTTGCAAGAACAACCATCCCAAGAAATGGCAATTTTTTGCCCAAAATCACTTCAGCATTTTGGATTCGAAGCAGGCAGCCCAAGACCTCCAGCTACAGGAGCTCAAAGCATGACAAACATGTTCCAGCAGGACTGTGCCTGCAGGAAACAGAAGAATATAACATTTGGTAAATATAAACCCTCCCCACCTCCTGCCCCCGGATGGTTCCTGAGACTGGAAATGAAAGGATCAGGTTCATTCCAGGCACAGGGCTTTGCTGAAGGCTACTCCTGCTCTTCCCAACACTTGGCAATGCCCAGAGAAGGAACAGAACACAAAGATGAGTGATGGAGGAGGCATCAAACCAGGGGGAGAGGGGGCTGCAAACTACAGAAAGGGTCTGTCAGGATCCAGCCACCCCCTCAACCCTAAAACAACAGGGGAAGCCACAAAAAAAGGGAAAATGTCACTGCAGCAGGACTCTGCAGTGAGRCAAACTTGGAAAATCTCCCATTTCTTTCCCCTCTTCCTGGAGCATCTCCCTGAGGAGGAGGAAGCACACCCACGTGCTGGCAGCTCCCTGACTTTCCCTCTCACTTTGCCCCAAGTGTTGACTAATGGCACACAAAGAAAAGCCTTCCTGCAGCCAGGAGCCGGCAGAGCAAAGGCCTGGCACTGACTGCTCTCACCCTGGATGCAGRTATGGATCTAAAATTGTGCCCATCCCACAGCTTCTTTCATGCTATGGYCCCCTGTAGCTCTGCCACTCGTAAGTGGCTGTGAGAGCAGTGCCTGGAAGGRGGAGAAGGATGAAACCAGCTCTCAGGACACAGCCCTGGGCTGAAGAAAAATTACCAGGAGCTGATCCAGAGAGGAAATCATCAGACACAGGCACAGAGCTGGGCCCAGGGAGGAAAGCAGGACAGGCAGCCTGCTTTGGGCATTTCCCACTCCTCCAGCCTCGCAGAAACGGGGCTGCAGCGGTCTGGAACAATGGGAAGGCAGAGACAAAGAGGAAAACAGCTTTTGGTACTCTCCATGGCTGCTTAGCTCCAGGAGCCTGTGCAGTGCTGTCCCACAGCCCCAGCCATGAGGTGGGCAGTGCCTGTGAGAGGCACCAGGGGTCCAAACCACGGCAGGAAACAACTCCCAAGTTCCAAAACTCACCTGGCACTGCACTCCTTCTTAATTTGCTTGGCAACTACCAACTGAAAAGCTTAAAGATTAAGGAAAAAGCAAAGCCCAGAGGGTCAGCAGCCCAGAGAAGGGTGAGGGGACAGGGGAGAGGATAAAAACATTGCAGCATGGAGGGACAGTCAGAGGGAATCACACCAGCAGCTGTCACGTTGCTTCCAAGCCCACAAGCAGCAGAGGAAGACATCACAGTGCTGACTTCYAGCTGAAGTTTCTTCTTTTTACATCAAGATGAGATTTGAGTGCTCCAGACCATCTTTTTTYCCTTCAGCCCCCCAGCCCTGTCCGTTTCTGTTCAGGCCACCTTCACCAGCCACTTCTCAAGGCTCTCCAAGTCAGCCTCTCCCTCCTCTCCCTTGCTGCCCCGAGCGCTGCACTCCACAAACTCCACCTTCATGGGCAGCTGGGAGAAGTCAAAGTCCTTGCCCTTCTTGCCCAGCTGGGCAGGGCCCCCTGTGCCTGAGCCATCCAGGCTGGTGGGGGCTGCAGAGCGGGTCACACGCAGGGTGTTGCTGCAGGGAGAGAAGGGAAAGRGTCAGGAAATGGGAAATGGGAACATCATCTGCACCATGGCTCTGCTACACCAAGGCATGAGGCCAGAGGCTCAGGGGAATAGGGGGGCACTCAAGGGGAGGTGTTCAAACAGGTTTTGTTTTGTGATAAATGACAGCAAAAGTCTGATGGTGATGATGATAATGATGTCCTTATCCCAATCTGCCCACGGCAAACACTGGGCAGAGTAACCACCCAGAAATCCAAAACCTACACACAAATAGGCAAATGCTCACCAYCAGAACAAGCCATCCTTATTTTCCTAGAGAATGTGAATATTCTAATATTGTAATACACAACTAACTCCTCTGGTAAAAACCAGAAGGTCGGGTGTTCAGCCTGGAAGAGGCACGGCACAAACAGCCCTGCTGCCGTCTGCTGGCCAAAGGGATTATAGGTTCAGGGAATCACCCAGGGTGGAAAAACCCTCTGATCACACATAGCCCAGCTGTAAACCCAGCACTGCCAACCCCCAGGACAAACAGCCTGTTCCCTGCTGCACAGGGAGCACACTTCCCAAAGGAGCTCACTGAGCACTGAGGTAAGAGGGAAAGGACAAGAGGAAAAGCTCAGAGGGATTGAGATCCCATTCCATACTTACAGCTCTTTCTCCAGCTGCTGCTGGATGAGTTTTGCTGATTTTGCCATTGTGACATCTAGAGAGAAAAGAACATGAAATCAGCTCGTGGGCTGTCTGTCAGAATTCAGAGCCTGGTTCCTYCTCCTGAAGTAAGACCAGCTCATCCTGTGCAGCCCCTGCAGTCGCCAGGACAAGTACAGCTGTGCCTGCAGCAGGATAAGGGATGCTGGAGCTTTGGGATCACAGGTATGAATGGGAACAACCCAAAAGTCTGACACAATGCAGGSAATTAATTCCTTCTTGCTGGGCAGGAAGATACTTTGGAAGACAGTGTTTGATGCCCCAGCACTCCCTCCTCTCCTGGCTCCACACAGCACTCTCCACCCATGGCACACAGAGCCATGAAGGCCTCAGGCAATTCCTCAATTAGTGCAGGAAATAAATATAAAACCCAGATCTGATACTGCCCCAAAACCTCCAATTGTTCCAGAGGAATCCACACTTTCACTGTAGAACTTGTAGGGATCTGAAARTTGAGTCTTTTCCAGTGCCTGGATGTTCCTGCTATTTCAGAGAAAACACAGAACCTTGGCAGCTGAACAACTAATTTTGACTTTGAAGATGCCAGATGTGTAGGGATCGTTCCTTATGCTCCAGTTGATCCTATATCCTGCTGCCTGGAGACAGAGGAACAGCTGTGCACAAAGCCAGCAGAAACAAAAACCCATCCAAACCCCCTGCCTTACTCAGAGCCACCCCACGGGCCGCAGCTCTCCCAGGCACTCCTACAAACACTCCTGCTGGATAACCCAAGTTCAGACCTAAATYCCAGCTTTCCTTTTGCAGAATTGCCAACTCCCAAGCTCAGCAGCCATGTCACACAGCCCTGGTCAGCCCCAGCCCCASGGCACCTTGCTTGTTGCAGGCGATGAGCAGCGCGGGCGCGTTCCTGAGCACGGTGCTGTCCACCAGGACCTGGTACAGGAATTCAGCCACGTCCTTCACCTCCCGCTGGAAGGCCACGCTGTCCACCACRAACACGATGGCTCTGGGGCAAGAGGGAAGGACATGTGATGGGGATGAAGCTCTGCAGTCACCTTCCCCTGCAAATATTGCAGCCTGGGATTTCCACATCTGGTGTCACCCAGCCCATGAACAGGTTTGTAGCAGGTGCTGGCTGAAATACACCCCGTGGCCAGCTCCAGCAGGAATTCCTCCCCTGTCTGCCCCAGGGATATCCCACACCCCCTAGACCTCCCTGCTGCAGTTGCTTTGCCTCCTGGGGCACTACAAGCACAGGTAAGTAGGAAATTCATGGGGTGATTTTTGGGATTGTCTGGTGCAGGGTGAGGAGTTGGGACTCRRTGATCCTTGTGGGTCCCTTCCCACTCAGAATATCCCATGAAGGCAAAGCAAAAATGAACCAGAACTACCCCAGAGCAGAGCTTTGACTCTGGGGCACCACTAGCCCAGCTAACAGCATTCCCAGCACCATCATYTGGGTTATCCCCCATCACCTCCTCCCCCACCAATCCCCTCCATCCTCACCTGGCTGCAGCTTTGAACCGCTCCAGAAACTGCAGCCTCAAACTCTCATGGCCTGGAAGGTCGATCAAGGTCACATTTGTGCTCTGGAACACAAACAAGGAGTTAATACCACCTGATCCTGGGATCACAGACTGGGCAAAACCAGTCTGACACTGGATTTGTGTCCTGCAAGGCACGATCCCATCTGCCCCTAACACAAAACATAAACCTACAGTTTTCACACACAAAATCTCCCTAAATACACACAGCTTTGGTGGGAATAACACAAAAATGCCTTTTTAAACTGAAAGCTGCAAATGTTGCCCTTCCCAGGCAAGGAAAGAGCCAAAGCCAAGAGAACAAACAGCCAAGCCAGGGCCACGTCACTGCTCTCAAGATAAGGCTGCAGGAGCCCCCTTCCTGCCCACTGCTCCTGGATTTTAATGGAAACCTTGTCCATGATTTAAAAAAAAAGGAGCAAAAAATTAGCATCCCACTGCTTCACTCCCTCCAAATACTTGTCTGCTCAATTTTAAAGGGAAAAAAATTGAAAAAAATTTAATAAGCTCTGCACATCCTTTTACCAACGTTTTAACCTTATTATCATTTGTTAATAATGATTGAGAAGGTGAAGTCACAAAACCACCCTCTACTTTCACAATTCACCAGCACTTAAGGTGCTGACAGCATGCTGCTCTCCCTGCCATCATGTGCATCCAACACCACAAAGAGGCTCCCAAAATGAAAGAATTACCAAAAAACATCAGGTCTGTGTCAGCCCAGGATCTAAAAATAACAAAATCCTTTCTGACACTACAGCCGGAGCCWCTGCTTAAACCTGATAAAGCTTTTAAATTCAGGTTTTTGTAGGAGAAACAGAATTTCCTGCCAAGGACATAAACCAATGCAACAGGACAGTGATCCCCCCAAATCTCCCTCCTGCTCCAACCCACACTGCTGAGCCCACAGGTGTGGTTTTCAGTCAGAAAGGTTTCACTACTTGACAAAAAAGAGAAAAGAACCTGTGGATCAGCAAGCTCTGATCCATCCCAGTATTTCCCTACTTTCTTAGCAAGCACTGCATGGAAAAAATCCCGTCCTACACTTGGAACAAACTGAGCAGCACCAGAAAATCCAGAGAGGTTTAGCAGAAAGAGGCTGCACCCCCAAAGCCAAGTGGGAGCAAAGCTGTGCACTCACCTTGTCCCTGCTGACCCTGTAGACGGCCGAGCTGTCGGTGATCGAGGTCTGGGTGTCACGGTACCTCCCCGACAGCAGCTGGGGGAACAGGCAGGCTTCAGAAAAAAACAGCCTCCCAACCCTTAAAACAGGCTCTTCATCACCGTTCATCTACTCAGAAAATTAAATGGTCTGGCAGGGGTAATGGGCATTGGAGATTTGATCTCAATTTCCTGCAGGAAACTGTTGCTGGGGTTACTTTTCCAAATTCATTAGAAAACAGTAATTAGGAAAAAAATTATCTATTTGTATTGTGAATCTCCACTGAAACAAGAAGGAAGAGAATGTGCCTGTAAATCCTTCAGAGTTTTCCAGCTGGGACCAGGGTAACCATGGYTGTGCCCCTTTCATTCATAGATTTAACAGCAGCAGAATATCCAGGGTTGGAAGGGACTCGCCAGGATCATCAGTCCAGCTCCTGGCCCTGCACAGACACCCCAACAACCCCACCCTGGGCATCCCTGGCAGCACTGTCCAAACACTCCTGGAGCTCTGGCAGCCTCGGGGCCGGGACCATTCCCTGGGGAGCCTGGGCAGTGCCAGCACCCTCTGGGGACAGAACCTTTCGAGTATATCCAACCTAAGCACATCCTAAGGGATATCCAACCCTGGCACAGCTCCAGCCGTTCCCTCAGGTGCTGTCCCTGGTCCCAGACAGCAGAGACTGGAGCTGCCCCTCTGGAGGAGCTGCACATGAGGTCAAGTATCCCTAAGCCTTTTACTACGACAAATTCAAACTAAAACACCATTSCTTCTGACACTCCGTGGTAGATAAAACTTGGTCTCTATCCCTCCTTAAGACTATAAACCCCAATTTTTAAAAGTTTCATTTAAAGATTAAAAACCGAACTGAAGGAAACACCGTCACCTCTGTACGAGAGCCCAGAGCCGGGCAGCCCCCGCGCCGCCCCGAGCCCCCCGCCCCGCTCCCCGCTCACCCGTGCGAAGAGCAGCGTCTTCCCCGCGTCGCAGAGGCCCAGCAGCAGCACGGCCTTGCGGCTGCTCCTCCTGCCCTGCACGAACCGCCAGATCACTGCGGGACAGAGGAGGACGGGGAAAAGAAGGGGACACTTGAGCCCGCGGCTGACGGCACTGGCGCCCGCTCGGCTAGCGCTGGCCGCCGGCAGACCGCGGGGCGGGGGGAAAGGGAGGTTTCTGCAACTTACAGAAGGTGACGGCGACGACGATGAGGGCGATGAGCACGGAGAGCACGGCGGGGCCACCCAGCTCCCGCCGGAGCACCTCCAGGTGCGGCTCCAACCCGCCCGCCATGGCCTGCACACGTGGCCACGCCGCACTTCCGCTTCCGGCCCCGCGGCACGCCGGGAAGGGCGGGGCGCGGGGGATCATGGGAGCTGTAGTTTTTCCCTGAGAGGCTGTCAGGGCAGAGATTCGCTGGGGGAGCCCCGAGAAACACGGGACGGTTTAGGCTGGAAAAGCTCTGAGATCATCGAGTCCAACCGTTCTCCCAGCGCTGCCAAGGCACCACTAACCCATGTTCCTAAGTGCTTTAAATCCCAGGCAGCTGTGCCAGGRCTGGACAGCTCTTTTTGGGAAGGAGTTCTCCCGATGTCCCCCCTGAGCCTCCCCTGGCCCAGCCTGAAGCCGTTCCCTCTCCTCCTGTCCCTGTTCCCTGGAGCAGAGCCCGACCCCCCCGGCTCTCCCCTCCTGTCAGGGAGTTGTGCAGAGCCACAAGGTCCCCCCTGATCCCCCTTTTCTCCAGGCTGAGCCCCTTTCCCAGCTCCCTCAGCCTCTCCTGGTGCTCCAGACCCTTCCCAGCTCCGTTCCCTTTCCTGGACACGCTCCAGCCCCTCCAGGGCTCTCTTGCCATGAGGGGCTCAGAACYGTCCCCAGGGCTGGAGGTGGCTCACAGTGCCCAGCACAGAGGGACGGTCACTGCCCTGGGCCTGCTGCTCACACCATGGCTGGGACAGCCCAGGGGCCATCGCCCTCCTGCCCACCTGGGCACACCCGGGCTTGTGTCCAGCTGCTGTCACCAGCACCTCCAGGGCTTTTCCCAGCTTTCCAGCCCCAAACCCTGAGCATTCCATGGGGCTGTTTTCTCCCAGGAAGATACAGCCATTGGTACCAGGCAGAGGGAAGCAGAGGCAGGCTTCCTTCCCACAGTGGTGCAGGATGAAGAGTAACAGGAATACATTGAAATGAGACAGGTTCAGGGTGGTTGGATGAGGAATTTCCTCCTCCTGGGGGCTGGACAGGCTGCCCAGGGAAGTTCTGGAGTCATCATCCTTGGAGATCTAGCCCTGAACATCCTGTTTGATCCTTTTCCTTGAGCGGGAGCTTGGACTGGAGATGCCCAGAGGTCCCTTCCAGCTTGAGGGATCCTCATGTGAGGTTCCTTTCATCCATCCATCCATCCATCCATCCATCCATCCATCCATCCATCCATCCATCCATCCATCCATCCATCCATCCATCCATCCATCCATAAAGTATTCTTTCCCCCAAAGCCAGGAGCTCAGTGTTCTCAGCAGCTCCTCCATGCCTGCCTTGACAGCAGGATTGAGATGCCCTGGATGACCCCCGGCTGTTCCTCTGGAGCAGAGAGCCTCAGCAGGAGTTTTTATTCTCACTGTGGATCAGAATCAGGCAAAACAAACTACATGTTTGCTTTCAAGTCAGCACCACAAAATGAGACAGAGGACCAAAATAAACACATTTCTGATCAAATCCGAGATTTTTCCAGCAAGGAAGCTTAAATCTGGGCTCTCCCCATCACTACATATGTGTGCTCCATGAGTCCTGCCTGCTGGAAGGGGCTCAGAGCCAGCCAGCTGAGATCTGAGATGTAGCACTTTCTGTTCACACCTCCCATCTTACACCCACTGAATTATTTTGGTTTGGAATGTTTTTTGTTTTTTTTTTTCCTTCTCCAGCCTTCAGCTTCCCTGGCATAAACACTCTCCCCCTTCCTGTGTCCCAATCACGCTGGGGAACCATCACCTGCTGGGGAGACATCGGGATAATTTGGGCAAAGCAAAAGCACAGAGAGTCCAAATCTTTWAATCAGGCTCTAGGGTATGTTTAATCCATTTTGCTTCAGCAAATGGTGCAAGAAATTTCCCTAAGGGCCAGCAACAAGTGACAACAGCCATGGTGGTGTCTGTCCTACTGGAGAGGCACTGAGAAAGGAATGGGTTTAAGGATCATTTGGAAAAACCTCAGGACTCAAGTTTAGATTTGAGATTTTATTTTTTGCTGTGCTGGCAGCAGAGAATTGTAAAGTGTCAAAGAGCCACTTTCAGAGTGCCGAGGAGGGCAGAGAAAGCAGGGAAGGCAGAGGGCCCTCGGCGGGTCAGTGTCCAGTGCTGAGGGCACAGAGGAGTCATGGCTTGAGGGTTTCTCCCCCACTTCGAGGATCCTTCCCATCTCACTACTTGTCCTCAAGGAAGGTGCACACCTGGAGAAGATCTGGAAAGGAAAGGACAGGGAGAAGTTCAGGTCCTGACTTTATTCCATCAGCCAACAATATGAGCACATGGAAAATCCCAGCATGCCACATAAAATAGAGCTTCAATCACAAATCCCACTCAACCCACACTGATGGATCTGGGGGGGTTCTCTGGGCCATTTCTCAAAGTCCATATTTTCTAAAGGTGAGGAAAAGTATTTTGTTCTTTAAATAAAAGAAACTTTTAAGTTTCTTTTATTTATTTATTTAAAATAAATAAAATTTGAATCTGTTCTCAGTTCACCCAAGGAGCTTTGAGGAAAGAATATTGGCATCCTCTTGCTTAAAAGGCCAGTTCCAGGAGAAACTGCCCATGCCTGCAAGGTAGGAACTGCAATTCAGAGYTTCCTCTGGGGGTTTCCAGTTACCTGATGGGTTGCAGGTGTTGAGGCTGGCAAGTGAAGCATAGTATTTCTCTCCAAGGAATTCCTTGTATGATATTCCATTGCGGAGCTTAACCAGGCACTTTGTCCGGTCTTTGAACARAAGATCCTTGGATTCGTATGCAAACAAGTTGAAATCTTTGTTCTTGCTTCCTTTTGCTCCAAACAGACTCTGAAATAAAGGCACGAAGAGGAGGGMAGTGGGAAGGTGCCCTAGCTCTTGCTCCTGGTTCTTCACCACCAGCCTGAGGAGCCACAAGCCAAGCTCCAGAAATGTAGGGTTGACCATTCTGTCTGTCTGCTTAGAGGAGGGCTCTTTCACTGGAAGGCACATTTTTTTGTCCCATTATTTCATGTCACTATGTGCAGAGATGCTGCCAGCAGGTCCTGAGCCTTGMCCAGGAGGAGAAGCAAAAGGACCCCAGTGCCTCTCACCAGACCCTGATGGTGGAGCCCATGTTAATTTTTGCAGGGAGAAACAGAGAGGGGTTAGCCTGGTTATGGTCAGCCCAGCAGCTTTAGGACTTGTGTGTGCAGGGACACTGCTGTCAGGGCTGTGCCTGACCCACCTGTGGCTGGGTTACCTCACAGGAGTTTCTGAAACACACCAGCAAGAGCAGAGCCCAGCAAGGAGGTGATAAACTCAGGTCACATAAGTGTAGTGTCACAGCAGCAGCTCCCGGGATCCCACTGCTGCCGAAAGGTGGCAGAGGAGAAAGAGCACTTGGGAAGGGATGGAAGAAAGGGACAGGGCTGTCACCCCCTGCAGCAGTGAGGTAAAATCTTCCACCTCAAGCTGACTTGGGGAAAATGAAAGCAACCCCACGATATTTCCTCCACTCTCAGCGCTACAAACCTCCTGCTTGTCCAGCATCTTACGGACTTGCTGTGCTTTCTCAGGACGTGTCACCACAGCGTGGGTAGGGACTTTGGCCAGGTTGCATCTCCTGTAATCCATGACATTGGCCCGCCCYCCGTCAGTGCACAGCAGCTCAAACTGGTCCATTTTCAGATCTTTGGCCCAACTTTCTGTGTTTCTGCCTTTAACGAGAAAGGGTTTGGAGATTCAGAGGTCTTGTGTAGAAGGACAACATCAGCCTCAACACCACTTAAGCAATAATGGGGATGGGGAAGGCAGCCCTGCCCACGTACCATCAGTGTTCTCCTCAACGATGGAATGCTTGATAAAGGCCACATCTCCCTGCTCGACCAGACACCTGGGAAGTAGAAAAAGGCCAGTGATGTGAGTGCTTCAATCCTGTCCCTTTCTCACAGATTTCATTTAGACTTGTGTTTTATTCTGTACAATTCATCTTCAAGGACAGCCAGGTCTAGGAGCCCTGCCACAAATATTTTAAAAAATACCTGAAACACAGCCTTTACACTCCTTATTTGTGTTAAAAGAGGAGCACTTCTGCCATTGCAGGAGGGCTTGCCTCTCTCCAGGTTTGCCTGGAGGCACCAGAGCATGAGTGTTATAGAATGGGGAGATTTTGCATCAATTCTCAGGAAGCAAAGAAAAAACACGTGTCATTTGTATAATATTACAGAGAGATGTCCTTTCAGCGGTGTAATGGAGGAAAAGAGCAGGTCAGCCAATTAGTGTCAACATGAGGCTGTAGTTCAGCTGTCACCTGCCCTCTGTGATCATCCCAGGGTGTCCCCAGCACCTACCGAAAAGCTCCAGTGTAGCCRTAGTACTGCTCATGGCTGTTGGCCACGCACTTCTCCGGAGGGACCCCGCCCGAGCCCTTGCAGAGCTGGCAGAGGCGGGAGTTGGGAGGAGACCCGGGAGCACAGCCCTGGCTGAAGTATTCATCTGGAGGCAGGAATAGGAGAAATTCACTTTTCCTGCCCTAGGAAGTTAGGTTTTACTTTAATAACATGTTCTTGCCCTGAAAATAACACATTAGCACCTGCTGGGGAGCTGGAAACGGGCTGGGAGAAGGAGCACAATTCAGTGGACAGCAAATCGTGTGCGTCCAGCTTTCACCATGGAAATTGAGTCCTGTGATTATTGAGAATTATTGTTACTGCTGCCCAGAGAAGCTGTGGCTGCCCCTGGATCCCTGGCAGTGTCCAAGGCCAGGTTGGACATTGGGGCTTGGAACAACCTGGGATAGTGGAAGGTGCCCCTGCCCATGGCAGAGGTTGGAGCTGGATGGGCTTTAAGGTCCTTCCAACCCAAACCATTCTGTGATTCTGTGATTCTGTGATTCTGTGATTCTGTGATTCTGTGATTCTGTGATTCTGTGATTCTGTGGTTCTATGATTCTGTGATTCTGTGGTTCTGTGGTTCTATAATGAAGCAGGGCCTAAGGCTCAATAGGCACTACCTTGACATTAAAAGAGGAATGTTTTCCCTGCCAAGCATTCCAAGCTCACGCAAAGAAAGCCCTAGTTTCCATGGCCTTTATGGGTCAGTAGAGTTGCATTTGGCAGCA